AGATTAGATCTTTGTAGATATATATATCATAAAAAAAAATCACGAAGAATTTTTAATAGATGTAATAAAGATACAATACTTCATGTTTAACAAAATAAGTCTAAAAGTCTAAAAGTTTAACAAATATTTGATTTATTTCTAATGACTAATAAGGATATTAAAAATAAAAATATTAAGAGAGAATATTAAGAGGAATAAAAGTAATCATATCTAGGTGTAAATCAAAACAAGGTTCTGTACAGAAACCTGAGCAATATCTACAACATACATAAGATATTTTACATTAATATTACATAACTTAATACACATATATATTTACAATAAGATATAATTATGTAACACATAATACGAAATACAGTGTTTCAAAATATTTTATTAAAATAATATTAAATTAATATAAAATATTGTATTAATAAGTTAATACAACAAAAAATTAAAACTATATTAATGTAAATTTTGTTAAAAATTATACCAAAAATAACACGCATTATTATTTTTTTGTCAATTTTCGAAGCTTAATTTATGGGTAATAATTCATTATCAATGACTCATAAAATTATAAATATAATTAGATTTTTTTCGTAATTGTTCGAAGAAACATAAATAAAGTTTATTAAATAGATCTGCAGGATATTTTGTACAATATAAAGATACCAAGAATATCATGTAAAATTGTGACTTCTATTTAATGTTTTTGACATTTTAGATATCAATTTATCTTTAACAAAAGTTTATAAATTAAACTACTAATAATTTTTATATTATAAAAATCAACTTTTCATAAAAATTTTATATAAAAAATTCTATCTAAATAACATAAGTATATAACAAGATGTAATTCATATTTGATTTTCTATTTATTTTAAATAAATTTCAATGTAAAACTTAATTACTAAGATATTTAATTTACTGTAATCTAATATTGAAAAAAACTTTTGGAAAAAAAGATATCCAATAAAATTTATGCTAAAGAAGAATTAACTTAGAATTCTTTAAGAATATTCAAAATTAAAGTGAAACTCATATTGGAATATATATTCTGTATGGTCACATATTTTTCATTAGGTAAAGAAGAAAGTAGTATCTTTGGAATTGAGAATTTGCCTTCTTGAGAAACTGCCCTTTTTATAGCTTTATACAGTATTAATTATTTATTTTAATTTCTGTTTTCTTCTTGCAGCAAATGGTTCGTACCAACCTGGAATGGAGCCAAAACGACAGAGAACTGCCTATACAAGGCACCAGATACTTGAATTGGAAAAGGAATTTCACTACAATAGGTACCTGACGAGACGACGACGAATTGAGATTGCTCATACTTTGGTCTTGTCGGAAAGACAAATCAAAATATGGTTTCAAAATCGTCGTATGAAATGGAAGAAGGACCACAAGCTGCCGAACACGAAGAACGTACGCAGAAAGAATGCGAATGGCCAAGCGCCACCAGCAGCGGCTAAACCGACGAAGACTTCAGCGACACGGGGGAAGTCCGGTACCGGTAACAACAATAGTCAAAGGAAAAACAATAACTCGCCTTCCAGTGGTATGGAGAACAGCCTGGACTCAAATATCGGTCATGATATGAGTGAAGTTCATGGGGTCAACTCCAGTATTCCCGTTGGCGTAGTTCATCCAAGCTTTCAAGGTCATCCTCATTCTCTGGCTCATCTCCAAGCACAGCTGAGTCATCATCACGTGGGAGGAATGATGGACGGTCCGACGGGAGGACCGTTGGGACACATAAGTTCCGGAAGTATCAGTCCTCTCGCTCCGGCTACCAGTCCTCCCGGATTGTCGCAAGTATCAGCTCCTGTACCGCCATCGGCGATAAAATCCGACTACGGACTCACGGCCCTGTAACATCCATTCTGTGAGGTATATTCAACGATTTAACTTTTTCGATATATCAATCGCTCTTCGTGGATAATTCCACCGTTTGACTGGATATTTATTGCAAATTAGATAAACGTAGTTTGAGTTATAATTGCAGCGTGGACAAAGACAATAGTCTGCAAAAGGCAGTATTACTTTTCTTTTACATACACAAAGATAGCAAGTGAAGTTTGAAACTGCAATATATTAACTGCAACAAAAAAATGTTAGATTCAAAATTATTTAGCTTTCTTAAATCTATTATATGTAAAAGTGTTCTCTGACTTATAAAATTCAACTGTGTTTGAGAAATTTATTATAGAATAATAAAAGATAGAAGGGGACATAATTCTATAGTAAATGAGATATTTGGATGACAAATAAAGCACTATTTCAGATCGTTAAATAATAAATAATGAATTATTTATTCTTATAATTTATGACTGACAATGAATCTACTTACCAAAATAAATACAACTCTTTATTTTTTTTATTTTCTATTATGTATAATTGGATTTATATACGTTTATGATTTTATAAGTATTGATTATCGAATTGGATGAATTGAATTGAACAAATACTTAAACAGATATAATAATGACAAATCGTACTAACATTATTAGTATCCGTTTAATTATTACATCTTCCACATTTTATATTTCAATATTATTAGTAACTGATAGTGAAATTCAAGATTTCTGATTTATATATTTCAATTTGCAGGTTCAAATAATAGACAGTAGACATATATATATATATACATATGTATCTTTATTGCATAAAGTTGAACATTTTCAATGCATGTATTGCAATAATTGGATATTTATGCATTACAACTAGTAAAAATTCTAAAAAATTACATTTTTTTACAACAACAAAATACATTTTTTTACAACAAAAAATTACATTAATTTTTTATTGTTTAATTTAATATTTTATGACTCATTCGTTATCATTACTTATTTTTCAGTTCATACTTAATCATTTTCACATGTCAAACACACTTACGCTTGTCAAACTGTTAGGTTTAAATGTAAAGCATGAATATCTATACCATATCCAAACATGTCTAACTTTATGTGATAACTTGAATATATAAATATATATATATATATATATTCCTACTGTACAATATAATAAAATGTGTATGTATTATGTGAAACGTACATGTGAATAGATATTTGACAAATTAGAATTCTAGATTTGACAAATAAAAGTACATATACATGCAAAAGAAATTATAACATCAAATGGAAACAAGCTCTTTTAAATTATAAATTTTTTTTAATTGCAATTGTCGGATAATACTAGTTAAACTTGTAAACGCCGTTTTAATACTTTCTTTATGTCTCCAAGTAATCGAATATTATTTATTACAATTTATAATTCGAAATATTGTTAGTCATTTTGCTATTATTCACATAATAATATCAATATCCAAAAAGAAATTAATATTTGATGAAACGTGAAATGTATATACTCAATTTTATGTATGTATATAGTAGTGTAAAGAGAATTTTATCGCAATACGATTAAAGTAATGTCCATATTTCGTGTATTACTGCATTATATGTTGGTACTAATGTTTTATATCGTAGATAAAATAGGACTTTTAAATAAAAATTTTAATTATTATGATTGCAGTGTTTGTTAGTAATATATTAGTAAGCGGCAAATTATCTTCAGTAATATTATAAATATAATTTTCATATATCACATTCATTCTGAAAAATTATCATTCATTTGGAGCATCTTATTGGAAATAAGATATATATTTCAAAGGATCTCTTTAAACACATTTTAAAAGTAACAAGTTGATTGAAACTTGAATTCATCCTTCCGCAATGGGACATTGTAAATAATTCGAAATGAATAGTCTATATTTTTACTGAAAGCGAACGAGGAATGACCAATAATAATTAGGATGCAATTGCACCATGAATAAATTGGAAGTTGTATTATTAAGTGAGTAGTAATCAAACAATTAATGCACAGAATCGCTGTGACGATATACCAAAACAATATTATTAGATATAAGAAACAGAGTTATGAACGTTAAGGTATGTTAATTCTAAAGGATCGAATTAGTGTAATTAGTGAAAGAACATAAGAAGAGTACGTGTATGAGTTTCGAGATCTATAAGTGTGACATTGTATCCTCTTTGCTATAATTATTAATTGTATATAGCGTGTACGATAAGGACATCATTGGGCACACTTCAATGCTTATGTTTATATTGATCATAAGAACCGATGAACTATACAACTGTCAAGTAAATAAATAAATAAATGTTTCGTAATTTACAATAACGTCGTGTTTCCAGATCATAGTCCCACGCATACCTTATTTAACCCTGTCCATCAAATTTTTTCATACAATAATTTTTTTATGTATTTGTACGATATTTTCCAACTTTAATATTTTTCATAATCTATTTACACTATTTATTATTCTGTCAGGAAACACCGTTAATCAACTAAAGCTAGTTAGACTTGTTATCTTAAGTTTTGACATTATCTTTTCCTTAGGTGCATTCGCATTGAGTTGTGTATGAGTAATATATCCTTTCTATTTTAACTTTGATAAGAGCTAAACTAAAAACGAGAGCAATATTGCACATGAAACAGTTTAAAAAATAATATATAAATTCGATAATATTATAACTGATTTTATCATAGATAGTAAAATTTCAATAAAACGAGACTGCATATTAAACATTAAAGTAATTCAATGATATTAATTATTAAGATATAGAGCAATTATGTGTTAATATATATAAATATATAAAGAATTTATTTAAAATTAATGATAAAATTAATATTATATTCTTTGCAAAATTAAATTTTAAATGATATACCGTTATACGTACGTAAATAATTAAAATACATATTTATTAAATTATGATAATCTATATATATTATTATATCTTTATATTTAACAATTGCAATAATAAATTGTAGTAACTTAAGAAAAAATAACGACATAATTTATAGAGCAACAACCGGAAGTATCACACTTTAGAAACACTTTTGCTTAATAGAAAAATAAGCACTCTTGAATGCATGCGCTTATCAAACTCATAATTTACAGATATCACAGGAGGCATTATGGTGTATATCATAGGTATATATTTACTGTTTTCTTGTATCCCCTCTTGCGTCCTCATATAATCGTGTGAGCGCCCATGCGTGCGACGTTGCCGTAGCAGCGCATGCGCAAGCATGTGCGTGATTGCCGCAGCCCGGGGCAAGGGATACCTCACAGCAGCTCGAAAAGAAGGGTGGCACCCGGAAAGCGAATGGGGGGCCGCCTGTGCAGTCCTGCCTCCGCCCATACCACGAACATCCCGGCCAACTGCCTAGATATGTTGCTACCAACCGGGTTCCAAAGTCAGACATATTATGGCGTGAACCAAGGTCGCTACTCAAACAACACATATACTGTAGAATTATTGGGGGATTTTGAAAAAATGTTAACAATCTGTATATGTTTTGTATAATTGTCTCTTGCATCCTTTCATTCATTTGTTAATTATTAATTACTTGCGTAAAATACATCTTGGAAATAAATAACTTTGGCTGACTAATAACTCTATTACTCCTTATTTTGTTGAAATAATGAAAAAAATTGTTCATCAATCTTTTTAAATTTT